AGTATATAGGAATGCAACAGATCTTTATCTATTGATTTTTGTACCCTGCAACTTTACTGCTTATTGTTTCTAATAGGTGTGTGTGTGTGTGTGAAGTCTTTAGGCTTTTCTACTATATATAGAATCATGTCATTTATAAACAGTGACAGTTTTACTTCTTCATTCCTAATTTAGATGCCTTTTATTTCTGTTTCTTGACTAAGTGCTCCGGCTAGGGTTTCCAGTATAGCAGTGGACAGAGTGGGCATCCTTGTCATTTACCTGATCATAGAGGAGAAGCCTTAAACTTCTCACCATTGAATATGTTAATCTAGGCCTTGTTATATATGGCTTTTTATTATGTTGCGGTTCTTTCCTTTGATAGCCATTTTATTGAGTTTTGTTTTAATCATAAATGGATGTTGTATCTTGTCAAATGCTTTTTGTTCATCTATTCTGGGGTCATATGACTTTTGTCTTTTATTTTGTTAAATGGTGTATCACATTGATTGGAAGATACTGAAACATCCTTGCATCTCTGGAATGAACCCCACCTGATCGTGATATGTGCTCTTTTTTCCTAAATTGGCATTTGATTTGCTAGTAATTTGTTTAGTATTTGTTCATCTATGTCATCAGAGATAATGGCCTGTAATTTTTTTACATATTTATTTTTTAATATGTTTTAGTTGATTTTTTTAAAAGAAAGGCAAGGTATAGAGAGATAGAAATATCAATGAGATAGAAACATTACCTGCTGCCTCCTGCATGCTCCCTGGCCAGGAGTAGAACCAGTAACCTCTTGGTTTATAGGTTGATGCTTAACCACTGAACCACACTAGCCAGGATTTTCTTTTTTGGAGTGTGGCCCTTGCCTGGTTTTGTTATCAGGGCAATGCTGGCTTTTTAAAATGAGTTAGAAAGTATTCCCTCTTTCTCAACTTTTTGGAAGAGTTAAAGAAAAAAAATTGTATTACATCTTCTTTGAATATTTGGTAGAATTCACCCGTGAAGCCATCTGATCCTGGACTTTTGTGATTTTTTTTTATTACTGTTTTGATTTCCTCACGAGAAATCAGTCTACTTACGTTCTTCCACTTCTTCATGATTCAGGAAGGCTGTATACTTAGAATTTGTCCATTTCTTCTAGTGGATAACCCTTCATAATACCCTTGTACAATCCTCAATATTTCTGTGGTGACCCTTGGAACATTTTCTCTTTTGTTTCTGATTTTATTTATTTGAGTAGCCTCTTTTCTCCTTAGCGAGTCTAGCCAGGGGTTTGTCAATTTTATCTTTTCAAAAAACAAGCTTTGTTTCATTTTTTCCCCTACTGTCTTTTTGTTCTCTGCATTATTTATTCCCAGTTTTATTTTTATTATTTCCTTCCTTCTACTGACTTTGGACTCTGTGTGTTCTTCTTTTTTCAGTTCTCTAAGGAGCAATATTAGATTATTTAGGATGTTTCTTGTGTCTGGAGGTAGGCCTGCGAAGGTATAAACTTACCTCTTTTGCTGCATCTCAAAAAAAAATTTGGCATGTCATATTTACATTTTATTTGTCTCTATCATTTGATCTCTTATTTAACTATTCGATTTTTTATTTTTATTGATTTTACTCAGGGGGGCACATTGGTTAATAAAATTATACAGGTTTCAAGTGTACTAAATTCTATAATACATCATCTCTATATTGTATTGTGTGTTCACCACCCAAAATAAAGTCTCCTTTGTCACCATTTATCTCCCCCCCCCTCGCCCCGCCTTTATCCTCTGCTACCTCCCCTGAATCCCTTTTCCCTCTGGTAATCACCATACTGTTTACTTCAGTTAATCTCTTCACCCTTTTCACCCAATTCCCTAACAACCCCCCTACCTCCAGCTGTGAGTCTGTTTCTATTGTTTGTTAGTTTAATTTTGTTCATTAGATTCCACATATAAGTGAAATCATATGGTATTTATCTTTCTCTAACTGGCTTATTTCACTTAGCATAATGTTCTCCAGGTCCATTCATGCTTTCACAAACGATAGTATTTCCTTTTTTATGGCCGAATAGTAATCCATTGTGTAAATGTACCACAGCTCTTTTATCCACTCATCTACTGGACACTTGAGCTGTTTCCCAATCTTGGCTATTGTAAATAACACCCCAATGAGCATAGGGGTGCATTTATTCTTTCTAAATCATGTTTTGGGCTCTGAATTGGAATTGCTGATTATAAGGCAGTTCCATTTTTAATTTTTTAAGGAAACTCCATACTGTTTTCCACAGTGCCTGTACCAATCTGCATTCCCACCATGGTTTCTTCTTGTTGTGCAAAACTTTTCACTTTGATGTAGTCACATATGTTTGGTTTTTGTTATTTTCCTTGCCCAAGGAGCAGAAAAACTATTGTTATGAGAAATGTCTGAGGTTTACTTCCTGTTTTCTTTTAAAATTTTTATGCTGTCAAGCCTTACATTTAGGTCTTTATCCATTTTGAGTTTATTCTTGTGTATGGTGCTAGAAGGTGAGATAGTCCCCACCCACCCCACACACACACACATAGATCCTTCCAATTTTCCCAGTATGATTTGTTGCAATGAGGCAAGTGACAGTCTATTCATGTTCTTGCCTACTTTGTTAAATATTAATTGACCATAAAGGTGTGGGTTTATTTCTGGGCTCTCTATTTTGTACCATTGATCGACATGTCTGTTTTTATGCTAGTATCATACTGTTTTTATACTATTACTGTCTTACGGTAGAGTCTGATATCCGGTACCGTGATTTCTCCAACTTTGTTCTTTCTCCGACTTTGCTGTGGCTACTCAGGGTCTTTTGTGGTCACTGAAAGTGCCTCTGGCAGTACCAAGTTGCATGAGGTAGGTTCTCAGTGATTGGCCAGGTAGGGGCAAGTGGTGTTCATCAGATTGATGCAGGTCCAAACTCACTGCCAGTACTGGGTTTGAGGCCACTCAGCAAAGTAGGCCAATCTAGCTGCTCCTCCCGTGAGGTGCCCATAGACTCTGGTGGTGGGGCAAGGTCTTGGGGAGGCCAGCAGAGTTTATCAGGCCCAAAAAAATCAAGATTTGGCAATGTGAAGGGAAGGCTCTGCACTGGTCAGGCAGGCGAGGGAAAACCGGCCCCCATCTTAGAACCACACAGCTCAGTCTGTCCCAGATTCTGCTGGGAGCCCAACCTCAGCAGAGTGGGGCCACCAGGAGCCGGGAGGGTGGCAGTGTATCTCCCACTTCAGGGAGGCACTGCCAAGCAGGTTCATATGATGGTGGGAGAATGGCCCCCACCCAAAGCCACACAAAGTTCAGTCACACTGAGTGTGCCTGGCCCAGGCAGGGAACCTCAGGGTGGGGCTATTTCTCCCTCAAGCTGACGCCCTAAGGAGTGGAGTGCTCCACCCAAAAAAGATGGAGCCTGCAGTATGGGAGAGGGACTCAGTCAAAGGATCCTGGTGGCTGTCCCTTCATCTCTCTTCCCAGATCCACAAACCCATCTCCCCTTCCTTTGCCAGAGCCTAGGGTGAGTGACCACACATGAGATTTTGTGCACTGGTCCTGTAAGAGGGCACTGTGTCTCTAGCAGACCCCGTCTCCCTGGCCGGACAGTATCTCTGATTTTCACAGTCAGATGTTATGTGGTTACCTCTTCCCAGCTCTGTAGCTCTGGGCCGGGGAGCCCAGACAGCTGAGATATCCCTCTGGGATTTCCACTGTGCAGCTCTTTTCATGTTTCCACCTGCCTCTCTGCCCTTCCTGCCAGTGTGGATGGGGCTGCTTCTGTCAGTTCTTGGTTAGAAGGCCAATTCTGTGGTTAGGTTGATTGTTCAGTACTTTAGCTGTAATTCCAGGCTGGTCCTGGCAGGAGGTGGTGTAGCTTCCACTTACTCCGCTGCCATTGTGGATTTTTTTTTTTAAATCCAGTTCAGTAGCATGTTGGTTCATCTCCCCACATTTGCGTTAGGTTGCCGAAGGAGGAACGCATGCGGCCAGGGTGGTGATGAATTTATTCGATCACCCCCACACCAGCTGGCTGAGCCTGGATGGCTCCAGCACCCAATGACGGGAGTCGGCAGCTGTAAAAGGACTTTTGGCGGGCTTTTTTCTGGGCGGAGAATTATTTGTGCATACCCAGCGGGGAGATAATGGAATGTGGTCACCGCAAGTGTAATGTGGTCTCAGCAAAGGGACTGTCCATTGTGAAATGGCCTGAAAAGCCAGTTCCTGGGGGAGGGGTATCAACTCAATTGCTCGATCAAACCTAACCATTTGTGATTTTCCTACCTTTCTTCCTATAGTTGATTTCCATCAACAAGTTTGAGCAAGCTAGAAACTTAAAATTCTTGGATTCTTACGTATCAGCTTCAGAGCTGGAAAAAAACTATTCTGCCCAGAAATTAACATTTGTTCTAGGGAAAATAAAATCATACACTGGTCATATAAGAGAACAGTGCCACTCATTTTTATTGACAAACATAGTAGGCATTCAGGCCCTGGACTATACATCTACTACGTCATTAAAAGTTGGAGCTAATGCTAAATGTAGGAAGCCTTATTCCACAATCTTAATAGTCATTTTTAAGAAGTATGTTCTCTTATCATGCATGTCAGTGCTTTCCAATTTATGCCTTCGTTATATTACTGCTTCCTAAAATACTAAAGAAATTAAAAACTTAGCCTCTGTATTTCCCTTCCAGTAAATTTCCTTCTGATAATTTTTAAATAATAGAGTTGAGTTAGGTTTAATTTTAATCTATATGAATTAAAATAACAAATGAAGTTTTGTAACAAACTAATTAAAAATATTCTAAAATTTTTACTACATTATAATAGAGAATAGTGAGTTATATATCTGAATACTAAATCCCTCGTGAACATGTTTAAAAACATGACTTATTATCTTAAATATAAAACAAAGGCATCTGTCGTACTATCATCACCACACAAGAGCATGAAGGTATTTTGTTACTACAGAAAACTCATTTAGGAAAAACATTTTGAAGAAGAAGAAAAAAAAACCACCATGAGATTAAATAATTTATTACCAGTGCTAAGATGAACACATACTTAATACTCAATTTTATGCAGAACTTTAAAAAAATAGTTTTAATACAGTATCAAAATTTACACAAGTATTTTGTCAAAAGACCAGTGTTCCTTGTATTAGCTTCTGCAGGCACAAAAACTTATTTTAAATGTCTTCAGAGTGTAGGAATACAACAATGTAAGGATGAAAGCTTTTTTTCTAATAAGAGAAGGTGTAAATAAAGCAAGCAATTTTCTTTTACAAAGTAGTAATACTTAAAAGATAGAAAGATAGCCTTAAATGGTAACCCAATTATGAGAATTAGAGATTATTCTATAGTAAATTAATTCATAAATGTTTTCTGAAAGCAAAGTACTGGTTTTTCATCACAACATTCTAAAAACTGACAATTATTAAGCTAATGAGCCCATTTAAAAACAACAATAGAATAATTTAGAAGAAATCTGAAAACTGGGAATTGTTGCGTTCCTACTTTTATAATCTGAAACCACAGTAAAAATTTAGCATTCTGTCACAGGCCTTTTGCACATTCATACAGGAAACTGTCGTTGCATTTGAAGAAACACAAAATACCTATCATAGCATTTCCGATACGCACAGTCTAATATTATATATACCAAAAATAAGAAACTAAGCAAAGCTAGCACACCTCTTTTTCAAACCTCAAGCAGCCTGAACAAAGCTTTTAGCCTCAATAATCAAGGGCATGCGCCAGTTTCATAAAACATTAGATAGCTGCTGTAGACAAAGAAAGCTTTTCATAAATGCAGTGCAATATTTTAAAGTTTACATGAAGTTTATTAAATATAACAGCATGTCTAGAAACTAAATTGTAGAAATTGACATCTCACAGCTGAAAACACTTAGAAAAATTATGTTTGCTTGTTCTTCCATTGAAATTGGTAATATTAACATCAATGGGTACACTGAATGAATATGGACATGTCCCCAAGGCATGTCTTCATGAAAAATACATCAAGATTAAAAGAAAAGATATATTTATTTGATCATTTGAAATAAGTGGTACTCTCTGATAATCACTCTATATAAAGTCTTGCTACCAGCTGTTAAGGAGAATTTATGTGACATTTTAGCACCTCAAAACAAAACCCCAGAAACCTTATCTTACCTTGCACCTAAATTATGCGGCAGGAACTAGTATTTTGTTGACTAAAAATATAACAATTAGGTACTCAAGTCTCAAACTTGGGAAGCTGGAAGATACTACCTCTTCTTATTTTCAATACGACATGGTAGGAAACTCCCACATTAAATGTAATGAGTCAACTCTATCAACCACCAAGGCTCTACTGTACCCTTCCAATCATGCGTTTTTCCCAATTATAAGCTAAGGAGTCAAAAACGTTTTAGTTCTAATGAAAATATTGGTACCAAAATGGTGACTTTCAAAGCTACCTTGTTTGAAATTGACTATTGTAGACATCAAAGCGAGAGACATAAAATACAGCTTTAGTTATACTAAAGGTTTTTAGAGGGAAAATATGTGCAATCACTCCATAAGTTCAGGTTTGCGGAAATCCACTCTTTTCTTCTTCTTTCCTGTTACCTATTCCTGGCAGTGGCGACCTCGTGTTTGAAAGAGAGTTTCTCACATTGGTCCTTTGTACTGGTTGCCAGACAAGTGCTGCCTAATCCCAGGACACGAACCTGCAGCATCTCCAAGTTTCCTCCACACAACCTTTAAAAGAAAAGAAAACGTCTTAATTGTTCTCTTCCACAAAGACGTGTGTGTCTTTACTGGTAAGGGAGATCTATGAGAGGGGCAAAGATGAATGTGAAGACAAGAGACAAAATAGCCACATGAATGAGCTCAAACACAAAGGAAGTAAAATGTGGTGCAAGCTTCTAAATCACAAGAATTACTCAAGTGTTGGACCACCAAGGTCAAAATTAAAGAATGGATTGCCAACTTAGTCTAGGTATTTGAGTGATACTCCACTCTAGCTGCACGCTAAACAGGAACTCCCACCCTCGGAGGTTGACTGCATTGGTGGAGGTGAGGTGCAGGCATCTGTATTTTTTAAAAGCTCCCAATGTGATTAAGTCTAGCTATGCACTAGAAGCAAAGAATAAATGGAAAACATTCACACACAGTAACAATCATAACCCTCCCAGGGTGTTTCACTATAAAGACTATGCTCACATTGATTAATTCCACAATAATGTACATGACTATATCATGAACACAAAGCCAGTTGGTTCATTAATTATTCAAAGACTGTGTTTGTTTTCCTTTTAAATAGAGCAGACACTACAGAGATACCCAGTAAGAATAAGACAGGGTTCTGTCTTTCATTTGTAAGCCAATGCAACTGTTAGTCTCTATGTTCTAGCAGATACTCTTACGTGACAGAAATGTCCTGTCTCATTTGGAGAGTTGTTATGGTCCTCAACTGTTGGAAAGGAATGTAATGTCATAGCAATAGATGGCTCAAGCTGTACTCACGGGAATTAGGAGAGTCTCAGTCTTAATAGCTTGACTGAAAAGAGGTACAAACACATCTAATCAGGAAGCCAAGCTAGCATCTCTTTCTTGCCCTTAAATTGTAAATATAATTACATCTCTCCAGCATGCTTTACATTTCTGGTTTAGAAGTGGAGGGTAAACTCAAGACCTCAATCACAGACACAAAGCATTAGATGGTTACAACTCAACGCAACCCGTCTGCAAGTACTCAGCTGTAGACTGCAAGGGGCTGTGTGGTAAAAGGAAGCACAGAGCAGGCAGAATTGAGCTAAGCCAATGAATGATTGACCTGTTAACTAAGAGGAGAACAGGTTGATGACCAATCAAGTTTTTGTACTGTTCTCAGGGAATTTGTGAGTCAAACAGAGAAACCTAAGATTAAAAAAAACACACCAATATATGTATTTCTGTGGTACAGTTTGGGAAGAGACTAGAGCCCTTCATGCTAGTAACATGATATGCTGTGAATAACAGTCTTTCATTGTATAGATGTCAACAACCTATCTTCAGGAGGACTATCAGAAACTGAGGCAAAACTTCTCTTAAGTTCTGAGTTTTATAACTGATCTTACATCATGAGAAAGTTCTGTATGTCTGTGACATTATTATAAAAGCATGGGGTTCCACAATCTTAGTGAGTTTCTAAGAAATTACTTATCAATGCAAATGTCTTAAACATTAAAAAAAAAAACCCATACTTTTCTTCTCCAGTATTTGCTTTGTATTTTCAATGTTCATATAATTTATAATGGTGATGCCAATATTTTAAATCAACACTATTTTCTCTTGGCTTGTAAGTAGTTTCCAAATATATGAATGCCAACTGTCAGACTTGGGCTGGCTTTTCTTTTTTTTCAAATTATGGGCATCATAACAATTGAGAGTTGGAAAAGGTTTCTAGAGAATGTTTAAAGGCAAATGAGGAGCGCAAGCTTTTAGCTCCAGGAAAATATCTTCTTTGGGGAAAAACACCACCACCAGCTCACGTAGCCTTTTGACACTTTTTTTTTAAATATAGGAAAACAAAAAGATCTATACAAACTAACCAAGATACAAACCATGAGTAGGTCTCTGCTGTGATTAAGAAATAAAATTTCTAATGTCTTGAAATCAGAAATCTTTCATCTAAAAATTTAAAAAGAGGCAAGAAAATCCTGGCATTTCTTTACAGAATTTCTGGCATTGAGCACAATGGAGATGTAAGATGCATTGCTTTTCATTCTTGAGGAAAGAAAAGGAGTCCCCAGCTTTACTTGGGGAAGTGGAGAGAGCTAGTCCTCAGAGGAGATCTGGGTCTAATCCTACTCAACTGTTCCTTAGCGAACAATCTGGGCAAGTACCTTAATTTGAACAATTAACAAAATTTGGGGATCTTCATTTCTTTAAACATAAAATGCAAGTGTGGGGTTCTTACCCAGTAGTTGCTATCCAAATTGTCCGTGGTCTGGGGCAAAACCCAGATCTCTGAATTATGAAAGAGGGCCACATACTACTCTGTGGAGACCCCCTGGGGGGATGACCTCTGTGGCCCCCTCTAGTTCTACAATCCTACAGTCTGTCAGAACTTTCTCATTCCAGAGACAATAGATGAGAAGCAACAGGCATCCCTAGGTGTGTGGCCCAAATGCTTTTTTTTTTTTTTTTGTCATTTTCCAGGAAAAAATTTTATTTCATGTTGTGAATGCAAATTTTAGTAACAATTCTGTTGAAGTTACTTTTCTAGGACTGTTAGCAAACTATTATTTCAACTACTCAAGATAAAACACATTATTTATCAAAATATATTTCAAAATGTCACAAGTGAGAAACCACTTGACAAAAGGTATGACATTTGTTTAATTTCACTAGTTACAAGTGAACTGGTGAATAAGTCATAATTTCAGGTGTGTATGATATTTCTATTAAGCTATCCAGGTTACAGGGATGATCAGAAATGGGTATGGCTATAGAGAGATTCCAGGTGAATCAGTGGATCACCTCTGGGG